GCAGACGCCGAGGGGCAGGAAGGAGCCGTTTCCTCCCGGCTCTGCAGCGCTCCCAGCCCCTCGGCGCTGCCCTGGCGCGGGAGCTGAAGGTGATGAACATGCCGGATCAGCGCGCTATCCGGAGCACGGAACAGCACGTCGGCGCGGCCGCGGCTCGCCCTTCGCCAGCTTGGGCCGTTGAGCGCCCGCTCGGGGATGGCTCCATCCTGGCAGGGATTTATTTCCTCCATCAGGTACCCAGTGACCCGGGCGACACGGCACCGGCGGCGCGCTGGGGCTATCCAAGGCCTTATCTCCGGGCCTGGCTGCGCGCCTGCCGGCTCCGGGCTCCTTCCCTCTGGGAGCGCATGGATGCGGGAGGAGAGGGCGGGATTGGGCCCTGCGCAGCCCCACTGGGTCCCGGGAAGGCAGCGGGGCCGGCACACGCCCTTATCCAGGAGGGACCGGAGAGGGCGGCGGGAAGTCGCTGTGGTCCCGCGGTGGGGAGGGAGCCGCCGGAGCCGCTGCTTCCCCGCGTTCCTTGTTGTTTTTTCGCATCGAGGGGAGACTTCAGCTCTGCCTGTGGTGAGAGAAAATGAAAGCAAAAGGCCGGAGCACAGGGCTGGAGCCGAGCCTGCCCCCAGGCACGGAGTGCTGCCCGCTGCCCGCGGAGCCTCCCCGGCTTTCCCAGCACCCTGGTCCAGTTCGGGGTGTGGGAGAGGAGACCCGGCGCGGCCTCCATCCTCATCATCGACAGCGTCAAAAAATCAGAAAAAGAGAAAGGAAATGGGTTCCTCTGGAGGGTTAGGGTAACAAAATGAGGCTGCTGGAATAGCCCCTTGGCAACTTCGGTTGGAAAGGCGGCCTGGGAAGCCGGCTGCCCCGCAGCCTCCACACGCGGGCTCGTTCGGGAGCTCTCCCTGCCGTTCCGGCGAGCAGCGTTTCTGGCACCGCGGCCAAACGGCACATCTTTCCTCCTGCCTTTTCCTTTCCTTTTTTTTTTTTTCGTCTCCTTAACCTAATGTCAGTGGGCTGGCGTGAGCGGACTCCTACGGATAATTTAAGCATCCGGCTCCTAGCTGTGTTGTTTTGTCCAATTTCTATTGCGTTCTGACCTACATCATTCTTTATTTGCAAAGCTATACTTGCAGGCAGCAGTAATAAATCAATTAATGACTCTGATGAATCGTTTAATGGCTGACAAAATAACACTACAGTCAACAGCTTGGATCTCTACAGCAGTACCAGAAGATGCTGGTTGACTCAGGGTAGGGAGACGAAACAGAGACTGTTAGCTCAATTAGTGCAATTAGTGTGCGATTTAAAGGCTTAGACGGCATCTGCTGGCATACCAAGTTGGTGTGTTAACTGAGTGTCTAGGTTTGGAAGCGAAATGCAGTGATCCAGATTGTCATAATGCTACTTGCTTCCACTAAAAAAAGGCAAAAAAAAAAAAAAAATCCAGCGTATGTGGGAAAGCTATATATATTTCCCACATATATACATGTATATATATATATATATATGTCCCAAGAATCGCGTTTTGTTTCCAGCACAGAACAAATTTACCATCTAATAAAATGCAAATGCGCACGCAGGCTGGCTGTGCAATAGCTGTCACGAAACTAGCCCCCCATAAGGAGGGGAATTAGCTAATTCCCGCTCAAGTTGAATGCCGCTAATAAACCCAGCCCTGGAGCGCGAGGCGACTTGAACAGTCCCGGGAATCACGGAATGCTTTTAGGATCTGGATCCGTGACCTTTTCTCTTACTCATCCAGGTAGCGTTCCTGGGAATGGCTGCGTGTGCTGTGAGCTGGCACGGGCTCTGTGTTGCTGCTGGAGCAGGGATGAGTTTTGCATGGTGGTCAGGAGCCTTATTTAGCTAAACAAGCAGATGACTTCCTCTTCCCTGCCCATTCCCATCCCGCTCCCATGGTGGACACGGGATTCCTGGAGCATCAGGGTGCTCTGGCTCCGCTCGCACCTTCTCCAGGTTTCGGCACTGGCAATGGGTGCAAATAAGTTCCTGTGCCCAGCGCGGTCACCCAGAAGCGACTGTCAACGTTGCAAGATGCAATTTGCCAAATGCTGCGTTTTTACGGGGGTGCTGAAGCGCCTTTAACACAACTGGGCAAATAAACCCAGCGGGTGGTTCCAGGGCGATAATGAAGCGCTCCCCGGCCCCGCGCTGCGCTAACGCCGCCGGCTCACCCGCTGTGCCCGGCCTCGCGCCTCCGTCCCGTGGGAGCAGCAGGGAGAAGGGCCAGGAGGCGCCTTCCCGGCTGCTTTATCTCCCGGAACACCGCTGAGCCGTCGGAGCCGTGACCTGTGGTGGCAGAACCTACCCCTCCATCCTGAACCCCCTCTCGGGTGGTTTCTGTGGGGGAGCCTGGCCCGTTCCTCGCTGCCGCCTGTGCCCCCGTTTCTCCTGCTCCTCATGGAGCCTTCCCGGAGCGCTCGGCACCAGCAGCTCTCCTGGCATGTTGGCCTCTTCCATGTGGAAGCCTCTCTGCTCCTCGGCGCTCTCCGCTTTTCCCACAGGACCTGCAAGCCAACAGCGAGCTCGGAGAAGGTCCTGCTCCACCAAAGCCCGCGGTCGGGCAGGGTCCGGCCGGCGGGTGCAGCCGGCAGAGGGAGAGAGCCCTGTTTTTCTAGGAACTCAGTGCTGGAAAGATCACTGGTTTGGGATAAAGGCTCGTTGGGTTGGGGAAAGGCTCTTTGTGATGGCAACCATCCCTTCCTCGTGCCCCTTGGTAGAAGATAGTGCCACGATGGAGGAGCCCGAGCCTGGCCGAGCGGCTCCCAACCGTCGCGCAGGGCTCGGTGCGTTCGCCTTAGTGGTGGTGATCGGGAGGGGAACGAAACGAAATAAAATGGCGTTTTGCAGCCTCGTAAATCATTCATCGAGGACTGACCAGCTTGGCTCCCATCCCGCTGTACGCTCAGGGCACTCGCGGGTTTTTAATTATTGAATTCTGCCAAGCGCCACATGTGCAAGGAGCTGGAGCTCCGCGCTTGCACCGCACGCGCATAGGTGAGACCGGGGGTGTTTATCACGGAAAAATATTCTGTGGTTTTGTGGAAAAATGTGCATTGGCTTCAAGATTTTCTTTGGCTGCCTTGCTCGCTCCTTCCTCTGCTTCCTATTGCCGAGGGAAGGTGGTGTGCAGCGCGCTCTGGTTCAATGCAAGGGCTTAAAAGCTGTATACATTTACCAGACCGAGTCTTTTTGCACCCAAAACGTGCACCCAAAGCTCATTTACCTTTCGGCTGCAGCGTGGGGGGTGTTGCTGCCACGAGTGCTGAGCGCATCGTGCCAGTGTTGGTCTCAAGTCTGTGTTAGTGTCGTTGCAGAGGGTCCAGTGCACATTGCCGTCCCCTTTGCTAACCACGGTGCCGCTCTCCTGCGGTGTATGCGGGCCCTGGAATGCCCAGATATGCGAGTGGCTTCATTCCAAGCTGGTTTGGGATCTGTTTCGCTTTGGGAGATTCCCCAGCAAGGGATTATGGTGTGCTGGAAATCTCTTGAAACCATAAAATATCACCTTGGCAGCTTTATTGCAGCGCTTGCCTTCTTTGGAGGGAAGCATTTTGCGTGATAGAGGGTTTAATAAAGGAAATTCTAAATGGACTTGCTGCAGTTTGGGGCTTGGTCTTATATATTTTTGCATTAAGAACATTCATCTGCTTTGCAGAGAAACTGCAATATGTTCATGGCCTTGGATTAAGATTTGGTTTTACTTTTATAGCTGACCCACTTGGGGGGATGGAGGGAGGGGGAGAACTGGGTTCACTCCCCCTGCTTTCTATTTTTGCTGCTGTCTGATAAAAAGAGCCGGGGATGGACAGGCTTTCTTTTTACTGCCAGGATTTATTTTTAATTGTTATTATTACTAACTGTAGGAACTCTCAGACCTGGTCCTTGCTGTTTATTGGGAGGACTCAGCCTGTGATGCCTCCTTTTTGCAGCCCGTCGGTGCGCTACGGCTCGGGCAGGCTGCCGCAAGCCGGGCTGCGCTCCGTGGGGCTTGGGGACACACCGGCTGGCACGGGAGCCCTTGGCACCCCGTGCGGAGCCAGCCCTGTGTGGGAGATACCCTCCCTTAGCTTCCCGCATCAAGGGGCTCTTCCTCCGGCCCTTTCGGGAAGATTCGCCTGTGCCGGGTCCCCGTCGCTCGCAGGTCGCAGGTGATGGGGCCCAATTCCCATGGTCCCATCCCTCCATCCTGGATCCCCCACATGGATGCTCTCCCTGCCGAACAGCACAGCAGGGACAGATGCCCCGTGTCACCCCAGGGGAAGCGCGTGGCAGCCGGGAGCAGGATGGAAACCTTGGCTTGCCGCACTCCTGGAGCCAGGATTCCCCACCGGGTTTGGGGATCTCTCCGGGCCCGCTCCAGAGCTGCTGTTGTACGGGCAGGATCCCTGTTGTGCGCGGGTTGCAGAGAGCAAGTAAATATTAACCCGGTTGCTAAGTAGGTGCCCGCGGCCAGGGCTGCATCCCGGCAATCCGCATCCGCCGGCGCCCGGCGCGCGGAGCGCGCGGCCAGCGCCCGCCCAGCGGAGCCTCTCGGCGAGGCGGCGGGACCCGGAGAGACCTTTAAAAAGCCGGAGAGCAGCTTGTGCCATAACCGTGTGCTGCATGGCAGCCTGGGGTGCATCCCCAGCACTGCTGAAATAACTAAAGGAGTCTTGAAGCGATCCCACGTTTTGCCCTCTTCTCCGTGGCAGGTTGTGTGTGAGCTTGTCCCTGTGTGCTAATGGCTACTGGGAATGCTTGGAAAACCGGGAGCGAGCAGGCAGGGAGAGGCAGCGGGCGGGAGAGCTGCGGCTCCGGCTGGGAATGGGGAACGGGGGCCGGCGCCGGCAGCTCCCGGCTCCCTTGCCTGGCCGGGCGCTCGCTCAGGAGGGCGGCGGGAAGGGGCTAATTGAGTCCACGTGGAGGCACGAGGAGAGACGCCGTTTTTCCTTCCCTCCGCCCCAAAACCAACATGTTTGTCCTGGTTTTGTTCCCCGCAGAGCGCAGCTGCCGCCCCGAGTCCCGTGCTTGGAAACATTCCCCCGAACGACGGGATGCCCGGGGGCCCCATCCCGCCAGGTTTCTTCCAGGTAGGCTGCCGCTTTTCCCCGGCACGTGGCTGCTTACGCTCCGTGGCGGCTCCGTGGTTTTCCGAGGGGATCCTGGGGTAGCTCTGTGCCAACAGAGATGACCTGTGTATAAATAACCAATGCTCTGCTGTTCTTCCACGTTTACTTTCTGCTTTTTTTTTTTTTTTTTTTTTTTTTGTGGCCTTAAAGCAAATTCATTTGTTGCTGCAAGAGGTTATTTTGTATTTACAATTGATATTTTTCCAGAGCTGCCTTGTTTCGTGTTTGGGTTGAGCTTGTATTTGCTCTTTGGTCGTAACAGACATGCATAATTGAAAACACGCTGGATTTTGATTCCTGAAACTTTTTCCCCCGCTGGTTAACCGCTCGATTTTTTCCAAATGCAATCACTGAAAGCACTAGCAAATGCTGGCTCAAGCTACGGCTGCAGTCAGGAGCGGCTTCAGTGCAAGCCCAAACCACTGAACACCATCGAGGCACCTTGTAAGCAAATACCCAGCAAAATTCCTCAAGTTGCCTTATCCACTCATTCTGCCACATTAAGCACCAGGCTTGGTGCTTAAAGATGAGGTAAAGTAGGTTTTGAGTGATACTCGTGAATAAGATTTTGGCAAGCACTTGGAAAAGGAGTTTTTGAAACTTTTAATCTGCTTTTTTTTTTCCTTTATGTATTTCTGTACGTCACAATGTGCACTGGTTTGTAGCAGCGTGAACTTTTGGTGCATTCAAATCTTATTTCGTGAGGACTAGGGGCTTGTTCATGCAACAGCTGAAAGAAACATGTGTTCTGGCAAGCTGTTTTTTTATCAGGGCTTGTGATTTGTATATGGGAGAAATTCTTGGGCAGTAGACAGGCGAGCTTGATAAACTGTTTGTGATTTATTAGGGCGATATCTTAGTGCGGTATCGCACGTTGTGTGTGCATGGGAGTCAGGGGCGAGGGAAGGAGCTTTTTATTTTTTCCAGAGAGATCCCATTTCCTGAACATGCTTATGACAAAACGGGAGTATCCAGTATTGACTGGCAACCCTAAAACAGGCTGCTCTTGTAGCAGTGCTCTGCGACAGGGGATGGGGCGAGCAGAAGAGATGCTATCTCGCAGGTCAGAGCTGCTGCCAGCAATGCCAGGGCCAAGTTGCTGCTTCCAGCAAGCGTGTTTCCAAAGTCCTGATCTCATCCTGGTGCAGAGGGGACTGTCCTTTCGGCAGCCCTGCGAGCCCCTTGAGAGTCAAGGACCTAGCTACAAGTTAGGTAAAAATCACCAGTCGAATGGGTTTAACGGAGAGGGGAGGATAAGGGAGAGGAACGGTGTTTGTGAGCGCTGCCAGTGCCCCACCACACATGCTGTGCATGCAGGATGCTTCCCATGGGCAGGCTTCAGGCTCCCTCTTCTCCTTTATGGCTTCTCTTAGCCCCTTTTTTTGTGCTGGGGCTGTATTTCAGAAGCAGAGAGCCCACCCCAGCTCTCGTGCAGCCGGGCTGCAAGCCGGCTTCGCTCCCTGCCGTGACTCGGGTTGCAGGCAGTGGGCTCGAAAGCAGCCCCTCTTCCACGTGAGCTGTGGCTTGGGCTGCCTGGAGCCTCCTGGAAGCACACACACATGGAACACCCATCCTTGCAGCACTGCAGGGTCCCGGGGAGACGCTGCCCCGTGGAGCTGGGTGCTCGCCCGGCCTGGGTGCAGGGGAGGGAAGGGCGCCCGTGCGCGCGGGCAAGGGGCATGTGTCTTGCACGTGGCCTCCCAAGGGATTCCTTTCCTGAAAGCCCTCCAACATCTGGTTTTCCCTTCCCAGGCAGGAGGAGGGGGGAAGCCAAGTCCCACCTTTTACACGCGGGAGCATCACCCCCAGCCGCAGGGTGGACGTGCAGCTCCCTGCAGCCTCAGCTCTGGCTGAGGGGCCGTGGGGCTCCGCGCTGAGCCGTGCGCAGCTCGGGGTTAATTTCTTGTCTCTGTAGGAAATTAAAGCGCTGAACTTAAGAGGGCAAAACCCAAAAGGTCACAGGAAACGCAGCGGATTGAAGGGGAGCATCAAACGGGGAGATGTGGAGGGAGTAGCCCGGCACAGCTCCGCTTGCTGCTGAAATCCTGGATTGCCACATCGGGAAGTGTGAGCTCTGCAGGTTTGGATGTGCAGCCCTGTTTGGCGAAGGGGAAGAAAAACAGCACGGGCCATTCCTGGGAGCCGGTGGCCCCAGAAAAGCAAGGAATTGCTTGGAAGTGGCTTGCTGGAGAGAGGAGAGGAGCCTGCAGTGCCCCGGCTGCAGCCTGCCCGGCTCCCTGGGCAGCCTGCTCCTTCTCTCCGAGCTCAGCAGCCACCTTAGGCTCGGGGCCAGAGGGAAACGCAGCCTGCAGAGTCTCCCCAAAACTCGTGCGGATAGAAAAGGACAGGCCCTGGGCACCCTTCCCTCGTCGGAGCGGTGCCAGCGAGCGCAGCGGCTGGCATGAGCCTGTGCTCCGGACAAAAGGTTGCCCTGCTCCCAGCCAGCGGGAGGAGATGCTTTTATTTAAATCTCCTTCTTTGTTCCTTTAAAAGGAGCAAACAAACCCGCGGCTTGTCCTCCTAAAGGTCATCAAAGTCGTGTCTGCTTTTGTTTTGAAAGCCAAACTGATGCCCGCCCAGATACCTCCGTGGGATCCCTCCTGCCCCAGCAAAGGGCAAGGGGCTCTAGCAGGGCAGGGTTGGTTATTTTACAGAAGGTAAAATACAAGCTATTAATAGGAGCGTAAGACCTTCCTAATGCCAAATAAATGGGGCACGGGGGGTGGAGGAGGGAGCGCGCGTGCAGCCGGCGAGCAGCCCCCTCCGCGGCCGTGCCTGCCCTCCCAAACGCGCCCGCTGCCGCGCTCGCTAACGCTCGCTCTGATGAAATGGAAAGTTGAACATAAATCAATGTCTGGGGCTGTGTTAGCTATGCATCAGCAGTTAGTGCGGGATGCACCAAAACAAAGCGCCGGCTGCTCCGCGTTCCGACACTGCCCCCTAATGCAGAGAGGCCTCGGGAGCGCGGCCGGCGGTGGGAGCTCGCGCCGGGGGGTTCCCTTTCCCATCCCTTTACTAGGTCACCGTTCCCCCCCGGGCGAGAGGGGAGTGAAGCCGCGGAGCTGCTCGGCTCTCCTGCGTGGCCGACGGGCTCCCATCTCTTCTAGTGCTTCCTGAGCCGCTTAGTCCCCCCCACTGAAGAGACTTGTGCGTTGTGCAGAGCATTTTCCTGCAAGAATATAAGAAAGCAGAGCCAGTGCAGGTATTTCACCCTTATTTCATTTATTGTTTCCTGTGAGGCTTAGCGATGCACATCCGCAACAAGGCGAGCGCTGCCCTCGCTGGCTCCCCAGGCAGGGGAGCGGCGCTGATCCGGTGCTGGTGCCGCCAAGGCCTCATGCAGGGGCTGCAGCTCCCTCCATCTCACAGCCCACAGCTGGGGGAGGCATCCCGGGAGCAGGTCTTGGAAAGGACCCGCAGGGATGTCCACACATAATGGATAAGTCAGGGAGATGGGAAGCATCCCATTTCTTTCTGCTCCCGCTAAGCAGCAGCCCGTTTTCCCCGTTAGCCTTTGTGCTCTTTTCCGCCCGCTGGAATTGCAGCTTCAGGTGAGGCAGAAATCTTTGCAGTCTGATGTTATTCGCATGAGATCTGCTGCTGCTCTGGAGACTCCTAATTTTAGCAGAAGCTCCGTGGCCGCCGCTAGCCTTGTCTGGTCCCTTCTGCTGCCTCTGTGAAGCAGTTTCTTGGAGGCGGCACAAGAGCAGCCCAGCAAACCCCCCTGTCTCTGCGCCAGAGGGAACTTCCCGCAAATCCCAGTAAGCAAAACACAAATGCCAACACGTATCCGATTTGCTGCCTGTGTCGTGAGTACAATAGACGCCTTCCCAAAGCCCCCCGGAACAGGCGGGATGTGTTTGAGCGGTGGAGATTGCCGGAGCAGGGCACACGGTTCACGTCTCTAATGGTTCCTCTTGGGGATATCTCGATTTGAAATTCTCTCAAGTAATCTCTTTAGCTGCCGTTCAGGCAGCTTCCCGAGGAGTGTCCCCCATCGTGAGCTGTGCTCTTTCCTCCAGCCGCTTCCACGTTTCCCCTCCCCGGGAAGGGAAATGTAACTCTTCTCCAGGGAGCGCCGGACTAAAAGATCAGAGTCTGCATTACTTGCCAGCTGCTCGCGACGAACACCGGCTTTGCGAGCGCAGGAGCGCCTTGTCCATCTCCGTTCCATTTGGGAATAGTGCTCTCAACACTGATTCCAGGGAAGGGATTTGCTGCTAGAGAAAAGATTTACGGAGCAGAAAGGTACGATTTAGAGCTTGTCGTAGCTGCTTCTCTCCCCCTGGAGACCGAAGCCCGGGGTTTAGAGGGTTCTCTCCTGCCTGTGGGTAGTCCCGTTTTCAAAGCTGGACCCTACACAAGAGGAGCCACCTGCCCTGACCACGAAGGCATTCCAGCAGCATTGCTGCTGACAGCTCTTTGTCTGTGCTAGGAAATGGAAAGCAGCGGAAGGGTGCACAGGCCTTGGTGCTGGGGGCCAGCCCGGCTTTCCTTCTCCCGTGACACCTGGAGCCGCTTTTCTTCCAGCCACAGCACGTCCGGCCGTCCACAGGAGCTGGCCAAAGGCCAAGCAGGGCCTCCACGTCAGCGCGCTGGCGAGGAGAGCGGCCGGGGAGCTGCGGGCGCTGCGCACGGCGCCGCCGAATCCAGCAGCTACTCAATATTTACACCAAAGCGGCCAAGCCCGGGGAACGGCAGCCTGGTTGCTTTGGAGAGGGATGAGTCACCTTCTACTGCACTGGGCAGAAAATCATTACTGTGACCCAAGCGGTGCTGTAGCGGAAGAGCAGGATTTGCTGCAGGACAGGCTGCCCGGGAGCGAGCGGCGCGTTGGGCGGAGGACGGTGGTTTAATGGTGCGGCGGGACCTGCGGGGCCTGTTGCAGGGTCAGCGGGAGCAACCAGCGTTGGCTCTCGGTGGGCTTGTGTCAGAGCTGGTTCCTGAGCTCCAGGCTTCCCTGCAGCACCAACGCTGTAAGAGTGGGTGGAAGCTGGAGCCAGACTGATCCCAAAGGGCTGGTTGAACCGCTCTTAGTTCTCTGAGCTTTCCTAGCGCTCCTGGGTTTTCTCTTAGAGTGTAAGTAAGTGCTCTACAAGTTTGGAAGGAACGTGGCTTGTGAGAGAGAGGAAGGCTGAGGGAAAGAAAAAGCAAGTGTCGGAGAAAGTTTCTCTGGAAGTTTAGTAGGATGCCCAAAGCTTCGGTAACGAATGTCTGGAGCATATGGTGGGATTTGCAGTCAACTTTCTCTCGGGCGCTCCATCCAGATGGAGGTGACTGTTCTTGGCTCCAGCTCCCATGGGTTTGTTTCCTGAAGAGCTGTGTTTAACATATTCCCTAAAATCAGAATTCTGCACTTGGAAGCCCCAGATGCAAGAGAGGCAGCTCTCCTGCCCACGTCTCCCTTCGTAGGTCTTGTGGGGAATTTGGCCAGCGCTAACGTTTCGTTGCTCTCTCGGAGAAAGATGCAGTTGGGTCTTCACCCAGCACCTTCTGCCTCCGTCGCAGTCGACATCGTTGGTTTGCCGCCCCCGGAGAGCCCCAGCACATGGAAGGTCCCTTACGTGCAGAAGACGACCGTTCCTCCGTGCTCTTCTGCCAGCCCCGTCCCGGGGGGCCCTGGGCGCTGCCCCTTGCGTGGCAAAGCTGCAGCTCTGCCCGGGGTAGGAGCCGGTCTGGGCTCTGCTGGGAGCCTGGGGTGCCTTGCAGCATCTCGGATTGCTTGTGAGGGGTGGGTGTTGGGAAGGGCTGCTCTGTGGGACAGGGAATTCTCTCTAGGAGCAGGAAGCTGGTAGTGTGTGAACCCCAGCCTGCGGGCCCCGGGCAGGGTGGTTTAGGTTATGGGCCGCGACGTGCAGCAATTGGTTGCAGAGCTCTCCAAGCACTAAGTGCCCAGTAAGTTTCTTACTGGATGCTGGAATTTTGTGGAATTTTTTAGCAGGCACTGCTGGAAAACCAGGACATCAGCTGGTGGGTCCCCCTCGCCTGTGCCCTGCGAGGTGCGAGGAGCCCTGTCCGGATCTCCCCACATGCCTCGGTTGGGCAAGATGGAACCATTTTTACACTGTTTTTTTTCCTCGTGGAGCATCCAAGTTAGAGCTCCAAAACCCGTGGCAAGGCCTGGAGCAGCAGTGTGGTTAGCGGGGCTGCGCATGGGCCACAGAGGTGGAGGAACGAGGCCGGTGGCCTCCAGGGTGTCACAAACCTCCCCTGCTTTTAAAGCCTCCCTTAAAAGACCTTAATAGAGCCCCGTTACGGGGAGTTTTGTCACGGTGATGCTGTGAAGGGCTCTGTAAAACGAATTTCCTCGTGTCCGTCAGTGACCACGGGTAACGTTGTCTGCGGGGACGTTAAGGACCCAAGTCACACTTCCAGGAGTGACTTAGAGGATGATTTAGTGGCAGGTGAGGCGCATGCTAAACACACCAGCCCTGCCGCCTCCCCAGGGGATTTGTGCCTGCCTTTGGCTCTTAAATCAGCCGAGGTGCCCCTGCCAGGCACCCCGCAGAGGACACCCCTTTTACTCTCTGACGGCGATTAAATTTAAAAAAAAATAATAATTAATCCTTAATTAATGTTCATTTAATTCATCTTGGTATGTTGTAACGCTGAAACTGGTAGGCAGAGAAAGATTTTAAAATGCAAGACACCTTCCTATTGCAAACTCGGAGTTGTTGGTGTCTTGTTGCATCGATGCTCTGCCTCCTTCTCCCGTTCTTCATTGTTCTGCCACCCCCAGAGGTACTTGGAAATGTTTTTAAATATCAAAACTCCACCATTAGCTGAAAGTATGTAGCCCATAAAACATGATCCATTTGTGGTGAATTACTCTTGAAACATAAATTGACACATGCAGAACTATGATCGCTGGTGCAATTTTCCATGTTTAATATTTTACAAGAACTTTGAGAAGTTGAGCTCATGAAAGACGGAGTGGAAATAATCTGATCACATGGAAACTCTGGATATAAAGCAGCAGCAGTAGCAAACTTCTGTCATCYAATAGTCCAGATTTGTCTTTTAAAGTCCCTGTAGTAAAGAGGGGGAAAAAAATGGAGATGAGGCTGAGATGAGGCTGTGAGGTAGGCTGGAAACCTAGAGCTCTCTGAAATGATTTCTTCTAACACTCTTTTAGATGTTTTGGTTTGGGGTTTTGGGTTTTTTTTTTTTTTGTTGTTGTAGCTAGAAGAAGGCAAAGAATAACCTTGCATGTAGTGCATTAAATCAAAGCTTGCCAAGGCGTGGGGAAAGCTGGTGTGAAGAGATTTCCGCAGCGTTTCCGAGCCCCGCGTCTCCGCTGAAGGTGTTTCTGGTTGCTGTGGTGCGAGGAAACGGGGATCAGGTCTCTGCGGGGAGCCTGAAAGGGCAGCTCCCCGCTCCAGCCTGCACGTTTGTGCCCAAAGGTAAGGGCTGGAGCACCCGTGTGGGCAGGCGTCCGGCGCTGGTCACGTAACATCCGCAAATGCTGCAGGGGCAGCAGCTTCTGCAGCGCTGGCCGAGGAGCCCGTCACGAGTCTGCAGCAGGACTTCATCCCCACACCTCATCTTCAGCGGCYCCGGGGTGGCATCTCCGATGCGGTTTGGGAAAAGGGAAGAAAAAGAGCATCCCTCCAGCCGCTTCCCCACTGCATCACAGGTTGGGGGCGCGCGCCGCGCTCGCCGAGGGGTTTGCACAAGGTGTGCATTGCACAGCAGCAGCCGTGGGGAGCCTCCCTATGGCAGTAACGTGACCACGAGGAGCCTGGTTAGTGCCCCGTGCCGCTCGCCAGCAAAGGCTGCACCGAGCCCCGAGGTGCCCGGGGGCACCCRGCCTGCAGTCACTTAACCCGGCGCTGCTCTTGGCACCGTGCTCTGTTTTGGCTAACTGAGCAGGGGATGAGGTTCGTGGCGYGAGGGGAGCGAGGGAAGGGGGCGATCCAAGAGCGCTCTCCCTCCTCCGGGAGGGAASGGGGAGACGCCAACTGCAGTAACGCGCTTGCTGGTCAGTCTTGAATGCTCGAATGGGTCTCCTCTCACCTTTAATTAATGCCAGCGGCGCAGAATGTCTGCCCAGGCATGAGGAAGAACGAATCCGTGCAGAGGAGGAAGTTGGGGGGCTCCGGGCACGTGTTTTGCAGGAACTTTTGCCATGGGGTTGGTACCTTGCAGCACTCGGAGGGTCCAGGCTTGTCCTTCCCACTTCGCTCTGCTGCCTGTTCATCCCTGCCCTTCTTCCCTACCCAAACCCCATAGCTGCAACATGCAGAAAGGGCCTTGCTCGTCACCAGAGCCTTGTTCGCTCCCTCTGGGCTCAGCACCTCCTAAAAGCAGCGAGGGGACACTCGGATGGCCCCTTCGGAAAGCAGGCGGCAGAGCAGGTCRTGCCCACGGCAGCTCTTGTCTCTAGGGCCGCTCCAGCTCTCCCTGGAAGGCTGGCAGGAGGCWGCCTGTTTAAATGTGTTTGGCTACATCACTCTGCGTAACAGGGAAAAAAAAAGGAAAAAACATACTTTATTTACATTGCACTCAAGTTTCTGTAGTACAAAAGATTTGCAGGTGCAAATATGTCCTGCCTTCATTAACTTCCCCTCCCTTTTTAATTTATGTGATTTCAATTTTCCTTCCCTGTACTGTTAATTAGGGGACCCTCTAATCAGTACCATTATCACAGTGGTATTCATGTTTAGGAAAGCTGCTAAACAAATGCTTGCAAAATTGCTAAATGGCTAATTAATGTCTGTTAATTAAGAAAATTGCTCATGGTAACAAACCATGCCATTGCTGGCAGCAGCTAGAAGGCGAACACTTGTTGAAATTAGTAACGAGGCAGGTATAGAACATCTGCTCCCGAGCCTCTTCCCGCCGCGTGCCATCGCTTCGCATAACGCGCCCGCAAAGCTTACTTGCTCGCCGTACAAATTGCACATCCTTCAGCTTGAAAATTATCTTTTTTTTTTTCTTTCCTTAYGTTAACATGCCCCCATGCATTCTTGCACCAAGCTTGCAGTGGTCTTTTTTTCCCAAGCAAACTTTTATTTTGTGCTGTGAAGGGGGGAGGAAAAAAAAAAATCAAAAAAAAAAAGAGTGGGCGTTCAACCCCAAAATGTCAGGAACTGCTGCATTGCAGTGCTCAAAACCTACATGAACGAATCTTTCTTTTTTTCCCCCAGACATCTTTAGTATTGCTTTACTCTAAAAGAAATTTTACTTGCATCATTAGGTAATTCATCTTGAGGAAGGCTGTTGCAGCCTTAAAGGGTAACTGTGCAGCCCTGCATGTTCAAGCAGGCGGGCTGGGTTGTGCTGCCCGTGTCCCAGCCGTCCAAAACACCCGGCACAAACGAGGACCTGCCTCCACTTCCCAGCCTCTGCCCTAGGTCTCCACGAAACCCGGATCCTGGGCCAAAAAGAACGAAGCCCTGSGAGGTGTTTCCTACCTTCAGGATAAAGGAGGAGGAGAGAGGAAAAGGATTGCTTTTGCTCTGGGGGTTTTCCTGCTTTCCACGACCTCTCCACGTGTTTTGCGGCCTCACTGCCGCCCTGGCGAGGAGCAGCCCTCGCTCCTCTCCGAGCGCTCAGCCCTTCACTGCCCTGAGGCTGCTGGGCTTGGATGGATATTCTGATTTTTTTTCCTTTTGCATCTACCATTATTCACCGTTTAGTTACAAAACAAACAGAAACTCCTCAAATAGGAGGAGAAAAAAAAAAAAAA